ATTATCATTTTTACTTTTAGCTAGTCTGATAAGTCCATCCCAACACGGGTTTATGACTAAACGCTCATGCTTCACATCGCGCCTGGAACCTTTTGATCAAACCACACAGAGAAGAGATGTTGATCAGTCAGTGATAATCCTGTACTTGGATTTTAGTAAAGCTTTCGACAATGTCTCACACAAACTTCTTCTAAAACTCTCTTCATTTAGCGTACAGAATCCCCCTTTATCTTGGCTCAAATCGTCTTTAGAATAGCGTAGCCAAATCATTCTCTTTGAATCTTGCTTTTCTAAACCTGTGAGTGTAACCAGTGGGGTTATACACGAAAGTATGATTGGTCCACTGCTGTTTTTTCTTTTTATCAGTGACGTGTGTTCCCTCTTTCAATATGGTAAACCTTTCTTTTTTGATTTATTCATCCTCTTCTCTCACCAACGAAGCTATATTTCAGCTGTAATCCAAGAGGAAATAAACAAGTTATACGAATGGACTGTTTCGTGGAATTTGTCACTTAATGTTGACAACAATGAATTCATCCACATCGGCCGCTACCATAACCTAAATCTGGCTATACACAAACATACACTGAAACCTCTTAACACTGTTCGTAACTTGAGTTTAAGGTATAGTGACAGTTTGAACTTTTCTAAACACATTGCATCTCAAGTATCCAAAGCCAGAAAGCTCATCGGATTGATAATGATAAACTTCAATAATATCGAATCGAGATTATTATTATTATACAGAAAATGTATCTTACCCATTCCTGAATATGGTATTTTAGTTTACGGTAATTGCAGACATAATGACCTGATTAAAATTGAAGGTGTTCAAAGAAGGTTCACCAAAGCTGTTTGGGGTATTCCGACAACAAGGACTATCACCAAAGATGTCAACATCTCAAATAAGAACCACTCTGGATCAGGCGTATCAAATCAAACTTTATCTCTATCTACCGGGTTGTTGACGATATTTCCTAATCCCCGGTATCCACTTCTTCATACTCTATGTTATCATCCTACATTCTACGCAAAAAGAAAAATATTCTAGAGATTCCAAAAACCTGCACAAACTCACGCCAGAGTTTGTTCGTAATCCGCTACTCAATCATGTGGAACACACTGCCAGTGAACCTCCGTCTCAATGAAACTAAAACCCGGTTCAGAAGTCTCCTTGATGATTTTCTCTCCGAAAGTGGGTTATGTCACCTATTGAATATCAATGTATTGAATAATGGTTTATACGAACAAGGTCCGTCATCCATCTAATTGACTGAAAAGCAGAATGAAACCTTTGAAACTTTTCACGTCTATTTCATTCTTATTTTTATTCATCTTAACATATGAAGTCTGTTTATGCTTGTATTTATCATTATTACCGTTATTAAAATCATTACAGGTCCCCCGACACGTTAGATATTCTTTTTATCTCTTCGTATCCTTCTAAACATATTTAATTCCAGATTGTCCTTTGAAATCAATTGTGACCTTCATAACATCATTCTTAATTATTATTGCACAAATATTTATGCTAATATCCGGTCTCACTCTGTGTACTATTACATAAATCTAAATGTATTCATCCGAGTGCTTTAACGGATTTTTATTTTATTTTTCTCAATTGCTGGTTTACTTCTGAAGTCGATATTCATTACACAATAATCATTCTTATCATGGGTGAACCTTTTCACTAGTTATCCACTTATTTTCTCTCTCTTCTTTCCTTTTAAATTAATATTCTGCTTAAAATTACGACGTTTGTAATTAAGACAATAACTTGTGTTACATTTAAATTAACTTCTCAGACTCGTTTTGTCTTCTCTATGCATATATGATTCATGCATATTGATATTTCGTCATTCTTTTCATTTATTTGAGACTTTCATAGCATCACTCCAAACTATGACTGCACAAACATTTATTCTAGCGTCATATCTTACTGTAATAATAAGTTATTTTTTCTTGATAATTTTCTAATTTATTTTTGTTACCAATTTGTCGATACATTCATAGTCATTTATTCTTGTTCTGTGTTCATAAACACACCTATTAAACTATTTGCGTATTTCACATCTCCTTTATTTCTATTCCCTTATTTTCTCTCTTTCCTTCTTTAAAGTCAATTCAGTATTCTTCTCAATTGCACAGAACCTGATTTACTGCTATTATTCTATTATTACTCTTTTTCAAATATGGCGAATATAATGCTAACATTATTGAAAATTGTGTATTGTTGTATTGTTGAAGAAACCGAAAGTTGTTTCCTCACAACATTTATGCACCCATAAGATGTTTGTGACTAATAATAATAATAATAATCACATGATTCTTGAAGCTGAGCGGAGAATTACTAGGAAGAATGATATCCGATACTTGAGTGACATCCTGACCCTGTTATTTATTCGCTTATCAGTCTTGACTGTTCTTATGTGAGCGCGTAGGTGTGTGTACATTTCGGCGAGACCCTAATTTATGGACGAGTCAATCACAGGCGTTTTAGAGATTTAAAGGTTACGGCGCCATTTTCAGTGCCTAATGCTAATGTACGATTAGTTCACGAGGAATTTTGTACAAAATGTGATAATTGCGTGGCCATAACAAATAAAACGGCGGGACTATAATTTGTGGACGAATCAATCAGACATAATATAATAGACTACGGATTTTAACGCGAAAGCCTTCCATCCATTTGGCTAAATAAATTTCTGGCATTATAGCTGATGTCAGTTCGTGATGAAAATCCCATATATAATTCCTAACTAAGGCAAATTACGACAATTATTGCGAACTGGATAATAAAAGCACCAGTAACACTGGCTGCAGCCAGGTACTACAATATATGCGGATGTTTGGAAAGCGTACAGACTCCTACATAGGCTTGACTATGTGCATCATGTCGTTATTCACAAGTGGCATTTTGTGCACTTAACACACGGTGTGCACATAACCAATATTGAAGCTATGTGGTCAAGGCTCAAAGAGTTTTTGACACCTTATCATGGCTCCAGAAGCCCACCATTCTGTATCCGTATGGATGATTTCCTCTACTGCATGTATTACGATTTGAGAACCTCTGAACGTCTTGCTAACCTTGACAAGTTTTTGGATCACGTATAAGAATTGTATCCACTTTATTTCCCTGGTTTTGTATAATATATTTTTACTCTGTACTGACTGTTTGCTGATTGGTTAATATTTTTCAAGGTCGCTAAAGATTCGTTCCAAGGTCGTCCATAAACTTGAGTCCCGCCTACATTTCTTATCCCATTACTCATCACATGTCTGTAACTTACTTTTGTGTAACTATAAATATTGATTAACGCTTGGTTAAATGGGAGTTGGCTTACCAGCCATATCCACTCCACGTCGTTCCTATTCTCTCTATTCCATTCGCTTTATATACCACATATATGTATTCACAAGTCCATTCTCGTTATTCGACTTATTCAATTCCGTTATTGGCTAACACGATTTAAGTCGATGATTATATACCAGAATAGGGGACATATATATTTCAATAACAACCATTCATACGATCTAATTAGAGTCAGATCTCGGGCCACTAAAGTAAAGAGCCCTTTCGACGACATCGTTCGATCTAAATGACGATTAAATAACGGGCCTCCACAAACATTTTCCAAAGAATCGATTTTCTTAAGCTAGCTCAGCTTCCCATCCAGGTGTCCGTTCAACCATCAAGCTCATGACAGGACGATTTTGCTGGCCCGGTCTGAGTAGAGAAGCAAAGAAGTGGGCACGCTTCTGTGTAAGCTGTCCGATATCTACAGTGATCAAACACAACAAATGTCCCTTAGGTTCACTTGAAACTCCCGATGCTCGTTTCTACCATGCTCATCTGGATTTGGTAGGACCTTTACCAAATTCAAAGGATAATCTTACCTGTCTGCGTTTGTAGGCCATTTCACACGATGGCCACAAGCAGTGCCCATCAAGGACATTACTAATGAAACTGTGGCCTGCGCCTTCGTCGAACGATGGGTAGCAAACGTCGGTTGCTCTTCAACTATCTCCAAAGACTGTGGACGCCAGTTCGAATCTGGACTCTTCCGTTGTCTGACTACACTATCAGGAATAACGCGATTCCGAACAACTGCCTACCACCCACAAGCAAACGGGTCGGTGGAAAGCTTCGAACGACAGCTAAAAGCTTCCCTATCAGCTGTAAACGTTTCACAGTGGATCGATGCTCTTCTATACGTATTATTTGGTATTCGCAATGTAGTGAAATCTGACATTGGACACACTGCAGCTCAAATCGTTTATGGAACGGCATTTCGACTGCCAGGATAGTTCATGGACCCTTCATCTTCGATAAACATGGCCCAAACCTCCTACACGAGCAGGCTTACACACGCGATGCGTTCGGCTAAACCTGTTTCCACTCGACCGCAAACAACTGATGTTTTCGTCCAACCTGCATTACGATATAGCACACACGTCTTTGTACGTTGCGACTCACTTCAACGACCTCACGGAACAACATGCGAAGGACCATTCAAAGTTCTTCAGTGTGGACCTGTGTACTATATCATCGATCAGAATGGAACTAACGATAACGTCAGCATTGACGGTGTCAAAGTTGAGTATGTAGAATGAGATCCTAATAATATTGAGTTTCGTCCAGTAAACCCGAACAACACATGTCTCACTATTACAATAACCCATTCGATGATCAACAATATCGAAGAAACTCTAATACTCGGCCTAAAACGACACACTCTTGAAGAAGGGTTGGGTTTCTGGAACACTTAAACGATTTCTGCACACAGGACACCACATAAATTCGGTTTTGTGTTGATTGTTTCACCTTACCAAGTGAAAATACCGAAAACAAATCTTCTTTCCAACATGTATTTAAATATGCGCACATTTTTTCTCTCACGAGAAACCCGATAAAACAATCAGCCTTCTAAACTGTCTAGAGAGAGACAGTATATCTCTGTCTTTAGTTAATTCGGATTGCGAAATTTGTTTAATCATGTTAATCTACCGGCCATATTAAAAGTTAGCAGTCATCTTGTTTTGCCCTTGAAGGTTGGTAGAAAAATTTATCAGGTTGCAAGTTGTAGGGTTGGTCGCGCTGTAACGCTCCGTTAATAATGTGATAAAATGGTGACAATTATTAATACAGAGTAACGATCGCCGGCGAACTTCTGGTGAGAATATTTTCTCGTTATTTTTTGAATGAATTAGATGTCAGAACCTCGAGAACATACCAATCTCGATTTTTTTAACCTGAACTTAGGCTCATGGAATAATGGTTCTGGTATGGAACTAGTCGATAATGATATTTGGCCTCCCAATTCGGACTCTTACCTTGCTCATACCAAACTGGGCAACATGGGTAAACTGCATACAGTTTAATTTATTTCAGCTCTTCCTGCCCCCAAAAAACCCGAAAAACTAACTGTCGACTCTAAACCGGACCCTGCAAGTATGAGTTTGTTAGGTTTAATCTTATCGTTCTCAGTTACTTGGTCTAATAATCCTTTGAGGCTCTCTAACAAAATGTCCATTTGGTCGAGTGATATGCAAGTATCAGAAGTAAAGTCATCAGGTAATCACAACCAACATTGGGGAAGTTCAACTAAACAGAGTGTTTCACTTGTCTATGATGATGTAAGTCACTTGTTTTCTAAACTGAACTATAGGTCTGGGACTCATCTCACGATCCTGTGTTTCAAGTGCCAAGGGTTACTAGTGATACCGATCCTTGGAAGCTTAGTCCAACACATTGTATTGGTTCCCTCACAAATGCGCCGATTACTATTGCGGATCCGGGTGTCTTGGCTGGTACATCCAGGTCTTCCGACATACCTCATGATAGTCCCGCTAATAGCCTTCCTTATGTTACTGCGATGCTTTCTGGTCTGAATCTTACTCCTAGGAATCCCGATGAACCAAGTAAGTCCTCAGTTTAACTAATCATAACACTCAGTGTTTTCTTAAACTTATATGTCTGTGCTTCAGATGATCTTGTTATTTCAGTTATAGCTAGAAAGTAGCATTCGGACTGTTGAATGCAACAAACAACGGCTCAGGCTTCTCGTTTCAAACTATATTTCTGTCAAAGAGCTAGTGTCAGCACTATATGTGCATAGACCTCAGTATCTTTGCTTCATTTCAAATCCAAGACATCTATTCTAAAATGCACTGCATCTAATAAACTACAATATCTCAAGGTGTCAGTTCTTCATTAATTAGAGTTTTTTGATGTGGCTTATAAATAAATAATCTCGCTTACTATATCGACATTAGTTCCGAAACGAATATTATTTAAACTAAATGACTAAGACAGCAGCTAGCAGCGCTTGTACTGATTTTCATATTTAAGAGCAGTTCATTATTGACATTTGTACTGTAACTATTAATCCGTCTAACTAAATTCTAAAACTGACTTCCCATACTTTGTTTTAGAAGTATTCACATTGGAAATGCGTCACACGAAATTGCGCTAGTTAACGTTTAAAATAATCGACACATACAAACCGATGTATTGAGCGAGTATGTGACTGTTAATTGAGTAGCGCAGTCGGTTGACTTTAGAGGGAAGGCAGATATTTTTCACTTAGACTAATCTTGTCGTAAATGACTAGTCTAATATATCAGAATCAATGCACAGCATTGTGATGTGCACACTTACGATATCAAACAGATAAGTTTTACTTTTTATCCTTCAATTTGTCACGAACAATTTCATGTATTCACAAGGTCTTAAATAATTCAACAGTCTATGGCCTGTTTTAGGTTTGTTTGTCTTGTGGTAATAACTGCCAGTCGACTTACACTTATACAATGGATCATGTTGTGTACCGATTTTCTGAGTTTGAATCCCCTTGTTTCATCAACTGTAATCTAATCAAGCTATACGTTTTACAGCATCGTATCATGAACTGATCTCTCAACCGTGAGCAATATCGACGTCAAAAACTGTTATTTTCTATATCAACACTTTGAATTCTGTCATAATAATTCGTTGGATTTCAAACTTTATCACTTTGGTACATCTCACGATGCTCCACTGCCTTGTACGTCACACCGTTAGGTCAAAGGCTCGAAGTGTGGCCCCCTAGGATAACCACCTGCTTCGGTCTGGGCACCCGGGCAGTATCACAGCCCACACACAAATGTGACGAATTGTCGATGTTTATGGAAAATGCTTGTCTTGCTTCGATCAACAACCAAACGATTCACATTATTATTATCATTACTATTATCACTATTATTTTTTTTCACGTCATTTGTTCACTCTCTTTTATTCCCACTTTATGTATCCTTATTTTTCGACTCATACAGCAGCTGGCCTATGGTGGAAAATCGGTTCTGTCTAAACGTTCTCGAGTCACTGCCTGGTTGAAAATTGTATGCTACCATCAAATACGAATCCTTAATCAGTTTTTTTGAAACCACGTGCACCATTCAAACTGGCTGCCTTCAACGTTCGCACACTTATGCAGGTCGGACAACAGATAGGGCTGGCTATGTCTTTGGGAAGTCTTAATATCGATGTTTGTTGTCTATCTGAGACCCGTATTCAAGACTCAAGTGAAGTACTACAAATTCGCTCTCCCTCTGTCGCTTCAAAAAGCTTGTTTTACGTGCGTTTATCCGGGGACCCTGTGACAACTTCGTCTGGTCTTGCTGGCGTTGGTGTCGCACTAGGCGCTAGAGCTGAGGCAGCACTAATCGATTAGACCCCCATTAACAGTCGGTTATGTGCCGTTAGATTAGAAAGTTCCATCAAAGTGAGAAGAAATTGGCGTGAGAAACCATGTCTTTTCGTCATCTCCGCCTATGCTCCGACGGATGGCAGCCCGGATGTAATCAAAGATAAATTCTACCACCAGTTAACTGTTATTCTCCAGAAAGTGCGTTCGACAGATATTGTAGTACTAGCCGGAGACTTGAATGCTCAGGTCGGGCGTCTAGGCACAGAAGAGAGTCGTTCAGGTGGTCGATGGGAACTTGTTGGTCGCAGGACAGATAATGGAGACCGTCTACTGCAACTACGCACAGACCACAACTTGTTTCTGGCTAGCACTAACTTCTGGCACGGTCATCGCCAATGTGCCACCTGGTGTCCTCCCTCTGCATCTGAAGCCTGGACTCAGATTGATCACATCGCGATCAGCTACCGCTGGCGTGGTTGTGTACAAGACTGCCGCTTCTTTTAGAGTACCTATCTGGACTCTGATCATGCCCTGGTCTGCGCCAATCGTACCTTACTTTTCAGTGGCCAACGAAGTGACGGCTACCAAAGGATTGATGTCAGCAAGTTGGTTGCAACTTCTGTTGCAAGTAAGTATCGAACCGAGCTAGCTTCTAGGCTAGCTACCACTCCACCGAAAAGTATAGATGAGCATTGGTTGCAATTGCATGACGCCATCAAAATGGCGAGTAAAGCCCCTTGCGGCTTCGCGAAACGTCACGCTTATAAGCACTGGGTTTCTTCAGGCTCCTTACAAGTCATCGAAGCCCGTCGGTCTACTCTTGGTGACCGTGAGTTTGACCACAAACGAAGAATGCTACGCAATGAAATTGGGCAAAGCTTGCGTAAGGACCGAGAAGCCTGGTGATTGGAGCGTGCCAATTAGCTGGAAGCAGCAGCTGCATCTGGTAACTACCGAGAGCACTCCCAACTCATTCGAGCCACTGGCAGAAAGAAATCTGTTGTGAGCGAAACAATCTGTGAGGATAACGGGATGTCAATCACTAATATCCATCGACGTCTTGGACGATGGGAAGAATTATTCGAAGGGCAGTTCAACTGAGCTGCTGCTCCGGCAACACCGACCGGACTGTCCTGCCCTCCATGGCCGGTGACGACTGATCCACTAAATTAGGCGGAAGTCCTCAAGGAACTCCAGCCCCCAAAACGCTACGAATCGCCGGGCCCAGACGACTTACCTCTGGCCCTTTTTAAAAATGGTGGTGACTTTCTGGCTAAGGAACTGACGACGTTGTTTACAAAAGTCTGGGAACTAGAGAGTGTACCAACGTCATGGAATGAGTCGATAGTTGTCCCTATCTTTAAAAAGGGTTCACGTTCTTCCTGTAACAACTGTCGGGGGACAGGTCTACTTTCGATTGCATTCAAGCTATTGGCTTCCGTCATATTTCGTAGGTTGTTCAAAACCCTGAGAAAAATTGACTCGCGAGGAGCAGCCTGGGTTTCGTTCTGATCGAGGATGTATTGATCATATCTCCACTCTCCGCCAAATGTTAGAACACCGTCATATTTATCAAAGGCCAACAATCGTAGTGTTTCTTGACGTTAAGGCTGCCTTCGATTCGTTGGACATTATTTATGTGTTCAATTAAATAAATAATAAACTTTGGTTGCCCGAGTTTTATCTCTTGTACTTCGAGCCGTTAACATCTATGATAGTTGTATTTTAATGTGTTACACATGCTGGTGTGGAAAATCCGGAGTGTACAGTTGTCTTTCTGGACTTCTGTAATACCACTATGAACTTAGATCTAACTAGGCACAAAAGCTTCTTAGTACTAGATCAAATATTGTGGTATTCTGTGCTCACTACTAACTTCATACTGAATAGAATTAATTGAAAACAAATATTCAGGTAAATTATACGTTAGTTCCCTAAATAATCTGTTAACGTGGAAACTTTTTGTTTCAGCGTCCGATGTCAAGTCGTCCATTGTCTGTGCTAACATGAATGATGTTGCGTTCTCAGCAGAACAACTCTGTGACAGACTAATCAATACAAACGAGGGTTGGGGGCGACGACCAATTGATCAAGCAACACCTTGGGAGCCATTAGATCCAAAGTTGGGTGATCAAGTGAATCGCAGTGGCATAACTACACCTACCCCAGGAGCTTGTCCTTCTGGGTTTGTAAGTGGAAGTCTTAGGATATCTCATACCCACTCAGCTGATTCTAACGTTTGGGCAAGTGGACCGCCAACAGGAACAGGAATATGGGAAATGCACTATGAAAGTTTAAGTGGACGCTCGGCTGTATGGCAGGAAGAATCACAATCCTCGACTTACCGTGATGCTTCGTCTGTTACCCATATTAGTCCTAGTACTTTAATAAACTGTAACATGAACGCCAATTCTCGAGGTGCAACACCAATGCCACTTAACAACCGTCGAGACTGGGAAGATAATGAAAATAGTAAGCACTAGATAATTTAAAGTGTTCATTCTGATTTACGTGCTATGTATATATTATATGTGCTAATGAAGTATGGCAACTTGGACCGATGCACATATGTGCCTGGTCCTACGTTGTAGCTATGTATATTTAAAAGCCTGGTTTAAAATAATTGTATAACAACAAATGTACCATTTTAGTTTTTAGCCATTATCTTTGGTCGGTTTGTTGCACTCGGACTTACACTTTTAAACATTTTTGCACGTTTTAATTTCCACTAGTTCACTGTTGTATGATATATAGTAGATCTGAACTCGATAAAAAGCGTGCAAACCACTCCATGGTCCCGGTACATATATCACAGCATCACTTTTTACCGATAATAAAATAAAGGGAAAAGTTATAGTGTTTTCATCACGGACTTACAAGCTGTAATGCAAGAATGTTTTCTAGCTATATTCGTGGATAAATTTTATTCAATCCAAGAGGCACTGTCTTCAGTTTGTCGTGTGGCAATGTGGGTCTACCCGTATCTCTTCCAGACCTTTGGTGATTAAGTCATTCTAGACCTACATAAGCCATTCATTCATGTGTAATATTTTCTAGTTGGCTGAATGGGTCAATAGATTATAAGATAATGCCTCTTCAGTTCTTGGGGTAAGTTTATTAAACTATACAACTAAGTGTTCTTGCATTATAGTTGGTGTCAATCAATGATGAAAACCTTAAACCTAACTCTAACTCCCTAATCTTAGCACTATAGATCACTTATATTTGTTATTTTGTATTCGGCGGTTGTTTAGTGGGTCGTTCAAGCTCAATTTTATGGTTCAACTTTATCGTAATTTTACCTTTCGATAGTCTCTTTCCGATGTAACTAACGCATGTTATGTACGAGTGCCTACGTTGATTACGACAGGTTGGTTTTCTAGCTACTAGACATGTAAATGTATGTAAATCCGTTCCTCTGTTTATTTGCTTCTAATTAGGATTATCCAAAAACTGGAGTCTCGGCCACTCTGAATCTTCAGACCACAGCAGCTTATTATGGAACTCGGTGTGTGTGACTGATAGTGAAGATAGTGTTAGTGGGGATATCATCCATAGACGTCCACTAGTAACAGTTGGTTCCAGTCAGGAAAGTAAGTGGTTTTATGTTAATTTCAGCCCATTATTTCCCGCAGTAGAAGTTTGTTATCAGATAGTAAAGATAAACCAATGGGTGCATCCAGTTTATACTATAAAAGTTTCACAATGAAGTTATGCGAATTACTTGTTCCTTGCGAACGACATATGGCCTTATACAAAGCCATTCAGTCGAGAAATCTAAATCTTGCTGAAACCTCCAATTTCTTCATCACCTTTAGAATAATTCAGGCTTATAGCTGTGACAGGAAATATATTAATATTTAAAAAATACCTGGTGCAGTGAAGCGCTAAAAATACACCGCACGAATTTATACACGTGAAAAAGGAAGCAGAATAATTAGAGCAAAACTGTCAAAGAATACTGTTTTAAATAAGAACGTAAATTCCAGTTTTCTCAATGTAGACCTTGCTATTCATGCAGAATTCGAAGAAAACTAGGGAATGACTGTCGGATTTTAATTTTAAGGCTTCCGATAGCATCTCAAACCACTTGGTTACATTATGAAGTAAATCTTTATCCGATAAATTCGCCTCTTCAATAGTAACTTGCTACACTGTGACCAGCAAATTAGGGGGTTTCATAAATTTTTGTGGAGTGGTTGTAACTAGTTACGACTGGTTTTTACCTCTAATCTTTCCCGCTCTACCATATATATATATATATATATATATATATATATATATATATATATATATATATATATATATATATATATATATGTACTGAATTCGATCGGGCAAAGCTGAGTTGTATTAGTGGATGTACATAAAGAGGATGTGACAATTAAGTGTTTCATTGTTCTCTGAATAATCGGTTCTAAATAATTTCCGTTTTCTATGATTTATCAACTAAGTGAATTAGTGTATCTACTTCGTTCATATTCTCAAGTAACTTGAGATATGCTTCGAGATCACTATCACAGCTTCAAATTTGCTATGTTTATTTTTAGTTTCTGATATTCATCATCGGTGGTAGATACTAGAAATATCTTTATGTTAACTCGTCATCATCATGTGATAATGTTGCTTACCAAACTTAATGATTTTGCATACATTTAGCTTTTCGGAATAGTGGAAATGTTCAACAATCCAATGGTCGTCCTGTACTTGGTAGTACTCGCCCTATTGTCCCGACACACAATCCACCAGACGAGTTCTCGTGGGATCCTGATCCGAATTTTTTGAGGTCCGGTGTCAATCCGAACGGAATTGTTTCATGGGACACGTCACCCAATAGCGTGGTCAGCACCACTTGGGGGACTCTTGGTACTTCCAGCTTAATAAGTTCTACACAAACTCACTTCCCACCTGTTTCAGATGACGTTAGGCATCAACAGAACTTCATGAGTACTAACTCACTTCCTCAGGGATCTGTAAGTATTTCTTCTTTAATATGTTGAAATAACATTTAAAAGTTGAGAATATGATTTTATATACAGCCAAATAGTTTGTTGTACTTATCAATGGTGCTGATTTGAACTGCATACTGGCATACGAGGAGGAAGTAAGTGGTCTAGTTTCTAGTCCAATACTAAAAAGCAATTGAGCTTACATAATGTAAATTTGCATTTATTTTGTAACAAGTAACTCTGACTTTTATGAAATGCATAAAAGTTTTTGTGCGAGTAATGATATGATAACCAAAACCATAGTGAGCTTTTGTATCTCAATAAGTTACGTTGGAACAGATTAGTATACATATGGTAAAAACGTCTATTGTTTGTTACCTTTGCATCTTGAAACGCTAACCAATACCACGTGTCAAAGTGACTAGTGAGGATCCTAATTTTGTCTATGTCGTTTCTTCTACTTATGTAACATAGTGTCCCAGAATTGACCAATTATACGTCTGACCAGCACTGTTGACCTAGAGTCGACACAGTCAAACTCATATTGCTTCTCTATCTTTGCTTTGAGACCAGAAAGTCAGTGGCCAGTTTCCATTATTAGTTTATGGTAGAACCATAATATTTCGACAGCAATTCTTAAATTACATTGATAATCATTAAGCTAATGAGAATAAAATTTGTATACAGGAATAATTTACTGTATAATAATCCGACAATTTAGAATGTATAAATAGCTTTTACATGAATAATGATAGATTTTCAGTGGAGTTTTCAATATTATAATCATAATAGATCCGGTATATAGACTCGTCCATATGACTCCATATCGTTTGTCCTGTAGATCCTTTATAAACTCGAGGAAAATTTTTCAATCTGGTCCACATACGTTGTTAGTATGAACACCAGTTGTTGGGTCTATGCTAGGTTTGAAGCAGTTACGAGTTCACTTAGACTGCGAACGGAACAAGGACTTGTGTCCAAAAACCAATAAACTAGCTATTCTATTGCGTCCCAGCCCCACTAACTAGAGAGAGAAGTCGAAGTCCGAACGCGGATATATATTCCGCAGAAAAGACAGAAGCACGAGCGATAACAACAGACACAAATCAAAACGTATATATACAGCACAAAACTGTCCTTGGGAAGCGCTACAAAATAGAATACACAACGGACCAATAGCGTTTAAGATTTTCTCAAGTGGGGAATACGACATGAAGGTGAAAAGAGCGCTTTTGGCGTGAAAACAAAAAAATTCAAAATTTCAGAATAAAATTACAAAATTAGGTCCTTTTCCGAGTGAGTTCTGGGATCTAACGTCCCCAACAGTCTACATAGTGCCTCATGTACTAACTTGCGATGAATATATTCGCGTTTATAAAGATACCGATACTCCTTACATATGCTTGTGTGAATTTTTGTTCCTGATTACACATGCTGTTTAATAATTGGCAGGAGTGTTGGAACCTTTCTGTTTCGTATATATGTTGGTGATATCCTTTTGCGTTTTACAATCCCGGATTCCGAAATCTGTACTACTAATGCTGAGAAAACTATTACTTACCCAATCCACTTTCACACTTCTGCTCGTTATACTTCCCCTTCCGGACGACAGTTTCATCAATTTCTGCGATCCCGCCAACACATCCAAAAGATATCTTTAGGTTCTTTAGCATTATCAAATAAGTATCTCGCCAGTAGTAATACCACTATTGCTATGGCTTTTGTTACATCAGTCAGGACAGCTGCTTGAGTAGCTTGTACTTCCGAATTTCACCAGATACAATTAATATGACTTTTAGAATGTTGGAAGAATGAATGGCATTCTAGTCCAACAAGACTGGCACCGCAAATCTGTCTCATCGCATGACACTAAAACGGGAATAATAAGCAGTTTAATAATAGTCAATGGGTTAAACCAAAGCTTAGGGTAAATAAGATATATATGCATAGTAATTCGCAATAAAAATATAAATAACAATAGTCCGAAAACCAGTTCCAAAAATTCCAGTTTGACAATATTCGTTGCTCTCTTTTTTTGATGTAATTCGTTACTTTCGCAAACAGATGTTTAATGCAATGCATTATATCAATACAGTTTTTTTCATTTTTCTCAGTTTATCCAATCTTCCCTGTAATAATATGATGGTAATTTCAGTCCATCTACAATTAGTCATCTAAAAACAAAGCTTTACCCACCCTCTAACATGCATTTACTTCAGCATCTGTAATTAAGTCATTAGATCTCTTTTTCTTGTAACATAAACCATTTCGTAGTATTGTCCGCTAATATCCTTCATCTTATACCCTGGATATGTTTTCCGTACTTGTTAGCAAGACATTGATTGGATTAAAGCACGTTCCACACAGGATTATGTTAGAACATATTGACCCGGTTTTAGCTAGTCAGCGCTAGCAGATAATCGGTTATAGGATATTCTTGTGTAAAATCTTAACAATACTAACGTTTTTATTACTGTGACTATCTCATTAGACTTGGCTTGTTGTGGAATATAATTACGCACCAGTCCAAGCCGTATTCTCATTTTTGGAACTAGTCGATTAAGGTAATGTATCCGAAGAATACAAAGCAATTAGGTTGGGCGGGTCGTATAACAAAAGACTTTACTTCGTACTATGCTTTTCAGAAGGTAGATTTGCATTGCTTACGTTAAGTAGTATATATATCATGACTAAAATTTTTTTATTTTCCTTAGGAACGATTACTAATTCACCCATACAGTAATACCTATCGCGCAGATCTGGTCAAATACTTAATGAGCCAAGGATTTAAAAGAGAAGATGCACATGCTGCGTTAATTGCCTCCAATATGGAACCAGATAAAGCTATAGTCGAATTACGGGAGCGTTACAGCACCAATAAGGCTATTAATGCCATGACACAGCCTCCAGAGCTTAATCGTAATTATGGAGCTGATAGCATTCTGCACGTTGTAACAAGAAACGGACCCATGTACCAGCTGTCGAATCATACGTCTTTATCACAGTTCGCACCTTCTGGAAATAACTCTTCGGTGTCTGCACAAAATCATCGTCTGAAGCAGTCAGGGTTGTGCGTGTCTACGCAAAGTAATACAACTCAACTTTTATCTATGCAACCAATCCCTAACTCTCAATTCATGCGACAGCAGATTACACAACAGGTGATATGTTCACTCCAAATTATTGCATTATATAATTGTATATGCGGTTACACATCTCTTCTAATCATACTGCCTTCAGCAGTCATCCAATTGCTGGCTTGTCTTCTGGACTAAATGTGCTTCTAAGATGTTGTAGCGCATATTGATTTCCTAACTGATGCTTTTTTAAAATGTTTCTTTGATTTACTATTGATTTTATTGTGATAATTATATTTTATATGCATTGAATAAATGACAGGCTTTAATCAGTAGACTGAGTCCATCTATCAGAGGTGAACTAACTAGTTTATTTAAATCCTTTAGGTTGGTGGAACACCAAACCTAGACCTGAATACTCAACCGTTTTATTCAGTGAGATTAAGGCCTCACTGAACTAAAGATTCAAAATTTCAACCATTTCGTTAACTGTCTGAACGCTGTTCTGTTTTAGTTTTTTGATATGTTTTGAATTAACGTAATATTTGTACGACTTGTGGTCTATAAAATTAGCCCAAGCTTCCTGAGTTCTAATTTCCGTATCTTGGTATCTGATTAACTGACTAACCCTCGCAGTGTGACCTTCAACCTGAAAGTTTTGACTACTGGTTCTCCTTACAACTATTTGAATTAGAAGGTTAACACCTAAGGGTTATCTTTGTAGACTTATCACTCTTACTGTGACTGGGTCCGAGTTGCTATGGCAGTTTTGACACCACAGTAGAAGCAACTTATAACTTTATTAAGTTACCTGAAACAAAGTTCATTGATTATGGTCTTCAACTTTGTCACTCATTTGTAATCAAGCACTAATAGCATTCGTAATTTTCCTTTAGGTTCGATCGGCCTTAAACCTTTCCATTCCAAGTCCGTTAGGTGTACAGACGAATGGGAGTGCCACAATGGGAACCTGTGGTGGTTCGCTTTTGGGAAAGCCTCCATCTCTTTCCTTATCAAACGTTAATTCCAACATTCAAACTGCATCGTCTACTAATCCACATTCAAGCACTAGCCTACTAACTACTACTAGTTTATGTCCTATCAAAAATAATCGTACATCGACTGGACCAGCGTCTTTAAACCAAAACTCAGCGAAAAGGTCGCCTCGTCAAATTTCGATCATAAACTCCATGATTGAATTGCAGAAAAAACATCAGGTGGGTAGAATTGTTTCAAATTTGTGTTCCTATTTATTGCATTTCATCCTTTTTGTTGTCAATAGGACATAAGAATTCCGCTCATCACGAATTTTATTTTTGTCTTATCAAATTCCATTTACCATTGTAAAACGAATATTCTCCCAGATGGGTTTCGAGTTACCGAATTATTTGTCTAGTAGGTACGAAATCGCTATGTGCGAAATGCTTGTCTTTGGCAAACCTTGACAGAGAATGCTTGGTTGTCATTTCAGGGTTTTCGAAGATCTCGGGGATGCTAGATCCCCAGAAATAACTTCTAAACGTCTCATTTTTGTAATTTTGAAATTTCATTTTCGCACCAAAAGCTCCTATTTATGCCTTCAGATTGTATTTCTCACTTCGAAGGACTTTTAATGTCATTGGTTCGTTTCCTCTTTTAATCCTCTATTTTCTGACATTTACCAAGGACATTTTTATGTTCTATATGTAAGCTTGAGTTGTGTGCTTGTTTGTTTGTGCTTCCAGGCTGTTTGTGGAATATACTTTTCCCTCGGGTGAATCTAGTCTTCTCCCTCTAGTTAGCAGAGCTGGGGCGCAGTCAATAGTTTAGCTTGTCCTGTTGCGTTTTTGACTTTCGTTCTGTTCGCCTAGATGATATCATAATCTCTTCAAATGTCGCAGAAGACTGTGTATTAATAACAAGTATTCCAGCAAGTGAATCACGAAGCGTGTGAACTGTTTAAAAACAATGGTAGAAAACTTATGAACCTGCAGTTTATTGAAAGATCAAATGCAACCAGCCGTTGTCGAGCTATGACATTCTCAAATCAAGTAATGACTTCTAGGAATATTCATGATTTAAATTAACTGTATGCACGTTTGAAGATGTTACATCTTCCTCAACCGGTGTGTTTATACTAAAATATCCATATAACAACGGATGCTGAATAACTAATATCGTTTGTAAAACACTCACTTAGTTTTATATCTCATCTGTCGAAATGATCTGAGCCTGTTTCTTATAATCCTGATTGTTCTTCTATTTTCTGCCTGCAGAGTATTCAACACCAATTAAATATGTATCATAATAACCCTGCCCTTCGTTCACAACCTCAGTACGCGGACGTATTTGTTGAACTCCAAGGTCAAATGCAACAAATTGAAACTCAGTTACACGGAAAGCGAGCACAGCTTAACATAACTCGTGCTCAAGATTCTGTAACACAATCTGTAAAGAACCCTTTAATACCAACAAATGGTTAGTTGTTTATGGAAGGTATTTTTCTCAAGTTCAGCTGTTATGCTTCATAAAGTTAAAATGATTGGTTTTGAATCTTGTACACAAAATGCACAACAAATGCAAGAAACTGACAAAATACCAAAACTCGAACTATGATATGTTTATATCGCAGTTTCTTCTGGTGGTCCAAAGTATATTAGTCATTCCATCCTAATTTTTTTTTACTTGAAGTAATCACCTTTCCCTCCAAATCATTATTATAGCGATAAACAAGGTTTCTTATTCGGAAAAGAGTTTCCACACATGCTACCTGAACTAAATTCCCAGTAAACAAGTTTTTGTCACCTGATCAGTCATTCACATTCTACGTACAACCTGGCACTTGTGCATCGGTTCAAGTTGCCACACCATATCATAGTGAGATAATTCCAGTAGTAGAACCAGTGACTGCATTAGTGGTAAATGAAAAGATTGCTCACAGAAGACATGATCCGAGAAAATTAAATTGGTGGGGTAAAAAATTGTTTTTACGGTAATTAAGATCTAAGGGAAGACAAAGTGTAAATGTACCTGCACCGTTGCAAACTATTCTGAGCCATGTTGCTCAAAGTCTTCGGCCATTGGTTGCGATAATCATGTGGACTACAACCAGGTAGTTTGTACCTTCCTACACGACTTAGTCCAGCTGTCAGTTACTTCATGGACTGATCCCACGTTCCAGGTTTTCAATGGTGGTCTAACATCAATCGGTTCATGATCGCGATAAAAAAACAATACTAATAATCGATGAATATGTTCTACTTTTACAGGCCACGTTCCATAATTACAAAGTAAAACAGAAATGATGAGCATATTCCCCCGTTAGTTGACAGGCGGATATCTAGTCTACACCATAAGTGACGCAAGTTAGCCTAATTTTAAATTGTCTTCACTGCTCATCGTGTTCAGAGCCCGAAGAGATGAGTATCTAAGCATCTAACAATTCTGTGAACGCCACCAAAATCCAGTCTATATTAACCTTTTGTTTAAATAATTGGTAGGTATCGCTTGTCAGTCTGGTGTTTTGTTTTCTTTTTAGGTACCGATATTTCTGATAACTCGTTTCCTGCTATTGGAACATGGATATCTCCTTCACCACAATGTAGCGAAAACTTTGATAAAAACGTCATGGATGGATCAGGTATGTGAAATAAAATACTCTGTTTTCATCCTCAGTAACGTAAAAATCCGCGAAACATTGAATTGGTCTCGTTGATTTCTAAGCCGTTGAAATTATATCAATTTCGTTTCACTACTATGCTCATACCGGCAAGGTGACTAAATGCTCTGGATAGCTTTTAAATTGTTTCCGTCGTTTACTACAGTATACATGTATCTTATTCGTTAGTTCAACTTTTTATTTGAATTTCAGCTTTTTCTAATGTAATCCAAACGTGAGACAATTGTATAGACAATATATTACAAGTCGAGGAGCTTGTCAGTCAATTGTTAAGATGAAACGTTCACTCGAATATGTTTTGACATGATATCCCGAGATCGACATGAATAACGATGTTTCCTAGCACTTATTTAAACAAAAGGTTAATATAGACTGGATTTTGGTGGCGTTCACAGAATTGTTAGATGCTTAGATACTCATCTCTTCGGGCTCTGAACACGATGAGCAGTGAAGACAATTTAAAATTAGGCTAACTTGCGTCACTTATGGTGTAGACTAGATATCCGCCTGTCAACTAACGGGGGAATATGCTCATCATTTCTGTTTTACTTTGTAATTATGGAACGTGGCCTGTAAAAGTAGAACATATTCATCGATTATTAGTATTGTTTTTTTATCGCGATCATGAACCGATTGATGTTAGACCACCATTGAAAACCTGGAACGTGGGATCAGTCCATGAAGTAACTGACAGCTGGACTAAGTCGTGTAGGAAGGTACAAACTACCTGGTTGTAGTCCACATGATTATCGCAACCAATGGCCGAAGACTTTGAGCAACATGGCTCAGAATAGTTTGCAACGGTGCAGGTACATTTACACTTTGTCTTCCCTTAGATCTTAATTACCGTAAAAACAATTTTTTACCCCACCAATTTAATTTTCTCGGATCATGTCTTCTGTGAGCAATCTTTTCATTTACCACTAATGCAGTCACTGGTTCTACTACTGGAATTATCTCACTATGATATGGTGTGGCAACTTGAACCGATGCACAAGTGCCAGGTTATACGTTGCATATAAATTACGGAATATAGTTTTCAATTACAATTGGTTTATATTTCCATCTATTTTGCTGTTGGTGAGTATTTTCGAAGCAGGTCATTTAGCGGATTTCTTTATTTCAAACTAAAGTGTGCTTAATTGATATTTCTTTTTGCAATACTCTCGCCATTTTTTTATAGCTTCTAAGTTGAACAACTTCACGCGCACTCCTTCTTGCAAAATATCTGGTAGTTGGTCTCCTACCTGGTCTTCATCTGTTATAAATCCATCCTGTCCAAATATTCGATCCATTCATAATCAATGGCAACTAATACATAATCAACAACGATGTGCTTTAGAGAGTAACTTGAAGTTTCCGGTGTCAAAAAATAATCCTTCGAGTACCCTATCTATTGAAGCTCAAGGTCAATGGCTACTAGTGCAACCACTCTTAGGATGGAGCGGTACAAACATTCACAGCCTGCAAAACATTTTATCAAATCATTTTAAACTTACTAGTTTTCATGTTTTGAATCCAAGCAGCTGTAGTGTACTTATAAGGCTTCAAAATATAGAGGACTCACTGCAGTTAGTGAAGTTTTTTGGCGACCGTTTATCTGTAGAACCGTTGTCTGATCACGATGCTCGCGTTCATTTGCAACAGCTAGTATGTTTCGTGTCAGTTTTTCGTTTTAAATTATTTTGTAAAGTTCTGCTGCTTACCCTGATTTTCTTGAAGACCTTCAAGATGTTTTAAATAAGCAACTTTTAGCATTCTGCTTAGCAGATAACTTAGTACCGTCTGAGTTAACTTAAGATTATATCTGTAGAACCTCACTACAACATTAATTATAATAGCTACGATTTTTGTTGCAAACAGTTGTAAAAACAACAATAGGTAGTCAACTCGAATTTTCGCCTCATTTAATCCTGTTTTTGTTGTTTACACAGGCTCTATACAAGCGCATATTTGTTCTCAATAAGTACCATGTGTAACCTTCATCTGATAACCCGTGATAGATTGTTGAAATACTTCCCACAGCTTTTCATTTGTTTTCTATTCGTATTTTTCGTCTGGAGTATCCATTTTTGTACGATTTTATGTTTTTCACTAGAATAATCTTCCCTAAAACTATCTTCAGTTTTTAGATAATGTCTTATTCAAAGGTAAAAGTAATTTTCGGTATCCATTTTTCTCAGGTATCATACTCTATGTGGAAAGCCTAGTGTAATCTCAAAATAATCTTCTGTATGTATTTCATTTATATAGCATTTGTGACTATGTGGACTACATGATGTTTCCCAACTTTTTTAATTTTTATTTTAGTCTTTGAACGCTTGTGGAGATGGCCTAATATCCAATCACTTTAATACGTCATCTGATATACATGCCACACCACCTAGTTTGAATAGCAATGGACAGTTTTACTCCCCCATGAATTCAAATAACAAAAAGCCTAATCCTCATATAGCTCGTTTTGGAATAACTGTATGTGGAAGCAAGTAAAGATTTATATTTGTGAGAAAGATGGTCGTCTCATGGAATCTCTTGTATTCTCTGAATATCTTAGGGAAGTCTTCCAATCTCAACGCTTTCGCGTTCAGATTCACGTCTCTGAAGCGCAGCCAATCTGTCAGTATAAAAGTTAATGACTAACTTAAGTTATGCTCAAGTTTTGCCAGTATGTATTACTCTTTGAATACCCCTATTTAGTTCATCGTTTGCTGTGCCTAAGAACATTCTGTGATCCAATATTATTACAATCATACGTTTTGAATTTACAAAATTATATGCGGATCAAAACTAGTCAGAATTGCCTTGTAAATTATAAACATCCTCTTTATCCATATTTTCCCCATCTGATATATATATATATATATATATACCTCATTGCCTTTCAATCATCATTAATTCTGTGTTTGTGAATGTATCCTGACTGTTTGTCTGTTGAATGTTGCAGTTTCGTTTTTAAACCGTTCGGTTTTAGTAGTCTTTCATTTGTGTGCTTTTTGGACAGCCTCTATGATCTGTAAATCGTTTCATTATTTATCTTTTTGTAAAGAGACTTCTAGTAGCGCTAATGATTCTGTCTGTTTCTGGTTTATAAGTCAAGTGTTTCCCTCGTCCATTTTGAATAGTATCTAGTTTGTCCTAAATATTATATGGTTGATATACCTATAATTAATTTGTACTCTTTTGATTTCCCTCTATATGTAGTACATTTTGTGTGTTTTCAGTGAGCTAATCAAAGCTAAACTGAGGATGTATTTTTTCATCTTAGTACAACATAGACCATGTCCATTGATAGCCCCTAACTGTGATGTATTTAATTATGCTCATTGTTCTAATTTCCTCATCATTTCTCTCGTCTTTAAAATGCAAAAAATATTTGGTCTTCAACTCTAAATACACTGTCTTAACTGTAGACCGGTGCAATATGTTTCTTGTCCCTCAAATTGTGCTCTGAACATTACTTACCTACCTCTTAATAGCAGTAAATTCGTTTGACAAGCTTATAGTCCATGCACCGTGTGTATGATCAGTAATACTTTTTTTCTTTTGACGACAGTAAGTGTGCATCCTATATTATCAAATTATCGCTTAATAATTATAATAAAAGAACTATAACCTACTCTGTCATCAGAAATGTTTAATTTTTGCAGATCCAGCCGAAATTACACAAATCCATTATCATGAATAACTTATATTAGTGTCTTTGATATATATATATATATATATATATATATATATATATATATATATATATATATATATATATATATATATATATATATATATATATATATATATATTCCAATCAAATGGTCATCCGTTATGTACTTTGCTTGTAATTGTTGCATCGTTTTTTTCTCTGCACAATGGTCAATCTAAAAATCAAACTATGCTTTTCTGCTTCTCTTCAGTATGTATGAACATATACTTATTCCGTTTTATTTAATTATTTTGAACTCTGAATAATTCTGGCTGTTTATCACCATTCTGAGTTAGTCTTTCTAATTCTCATGTCTTGTTGTTGATGATTGCATTTTCCTTTAATAATTCTAGATATAACTATACTTTTGTGGTTACCTTTCTGTATATTCTGTCTGAATTGTTTTTACGCAGTCGATTTTGTTATCACAACGACTAAGTTCTTTAATTTATCATGTCATGTGCTCTGTTTTTCTTTGCTAAATAACTCATTCCGGTGCAAAGCTATATTATGTTGCCAAACTTATTTAAATCGCATAGTCTCTGTATTTTCCCTTGTTTTTTAATTTCTGCCACATCTTGAAAATATCTTCATTTTTTAACTTAGTGGATTGCGAAATTATTCTGCCTACTTATTACCTTTTACTCTAACCTGTGATCAGATCCATGTGTTGTAGCTACTGCGCACCTATCTCACGTATTTTGATGTATTATTTTTCATTCCATTTATGGGCCATTGTTTTTCTTTTATCGTTATGTTCGTGTCTTAAATGTTAACTGATCTACATTTCCAGGGATCCAGAACATTTTGTGATGCTTTTCGTGCCTGTGCTAACTGACTAGTTAGCATTATTCATATCACATGTGCTTCCACTCAATTCTGTTTACAGCTGCAAAACAATGTAGGAAGTGGACTCACATAAAATAATTGAAAGCACCATATTTTATTCAAAACTTCTTTGGTTGTGTTCAACATAGTCCCATATTTCTCCACATATCCTGGGTGCTCACAGATCCGTGTAAACTTTCATACTTCAGAAATCATTGTGCTCTGTTTTGCAACCTCTTAATTCAATGTATTGAATCCAATAGGTCGTCCAGTTTCATTTTCAAATCCTAATTTTGTTGGGACTCAGCATTCTTTTTTTCTGTGTCCAGTATTGAATTTGCAGTCTTGTTAAGCATAATCATGAATTTGAAAAAATTACCGGATTTTATTTTATGATAGATTTGCCGTTCCTTCACTTTATGTTCATTGATTATTTCTGTCATTCTCATATCCTATCACCTACTCTTCTCATCACCCTTGCTGTGCTGATACTAATTATTATCCAGTAAAGCATTATGGTCTCTTAATTGTGTTTTTTTTTATATAGCAAAATTCGGCTGGTTCCAGGGACCTTTATTTTATCCAATTCCTGTAAGACAATGTTCTCTTTGAATTATGATAATGAAGCTAAAAGGTTTTTAGATTATTTGCGTGACTTCTTACTGGTTCCCAATATCGTCTGTCTATTTTCATCGTTGTTCCTAGCTCAGCTTTCTGGACTTGCCATTTTTGCGCCAAGTTTCACTAATTATTGACTATTTAGCATTGTTTGCTGTGCCCAGTGGACAAAGGTTTTTTTAAAGATATTTCAAGCTGTCTTGTTGTTTTCATTGTTGCTTCTGAGTTTAGTTTATGAACGTTTCAGTGTGTTCCATATTTTCTACATGGATAGTTAATTCGGATTTCATATTTGAATCATCTGATCAATTCTTAAAAAATATTTGTTCATTCTGTTGGACAATAAATCTTTACGTCGAGTTCTTTGTTTTGATCGCACGTATTAAGCGTACAACTCATGTGATTTAAAACACTCAGTGTCAAACATAGTGAGTAGTCAAAACGTCTTTAAAGCAATATTTGTTCTGTCATTAGGTTTCCAGGTTCACCGAACGTTATAATCGTCTAGTCGAGTATATATATATATATATATATATATATATATATATATATATATATATATATGCATAGTAATACAGTTAGCAATTACACAAAAATATAATTAGCAATAGGTCGGAAATCAGTCCCGAAAACTCCAGCTTTATAGTATTTGTTTTGATGCCCCGGACGTTGTGGTCGGGCTTGCTTGTCGTGATGAACCAATTAGGTATACTGGTTGGGGCGTCGTCTCTCAAGGTCCTACCACGATAGAGAGGTCGGTTGAAGTGCTTTAAGACTAAAAGCAGCCCACTCAATGTCTGACGTCGAACTGCTGGCTGTACAGAGATGTGATGGCAGTAAGGTGTACCCTTCCGACAGCCAGCATAATAGCGATGCTGCCTTCCCACTAGGATTGGTGAGGTTAGAATAGGCCGACCCTGAGGATGCATACCTCGCCTCACCTCATGGATATCCGTCTCCAGTGGTAAGGTCTCAACAGGTACAGGGCTAACACGAAAATTACTCACAAAAAGGTCGTATGTGTCCGACCTCGAGCAGTTGTCCCTTGGGCGGTAACTGCCCTCATACCTTTAACGGCACTCATGATAACCGTATCCATAATCGATCTCCCTCTTTAGTTCCTATTATTACTCTTACTTCGACATTCAACTCTAAATTTCCTCAAATGTCACCATGACCGACGATTCTATTGAACGAAACTCTATGCCAGGTTTACTGAAACCGTGCTGCAAACTTCACATTGGAGCCTTCAACGTACGCACCCTATATCAAATCGGCCAGCAGGTCTATCTGACTAAAACACTTAGATCTCGTACCATTGATGTATGCTGTGTCTCCGAAACATGCGTACAGTATCCTGGTATGGTCATTCACTTGACCTCACCAAACGGAGAGCCAAAGAGACCATTCTTGTGCCTCACGACCGATGGCTAATTCTCGTGGACTGGCAGGTGTAATTAAAGCACTAAGTTGGAGTACAGAACAAGCACCATTAGAGTGGATCCCCGTTAACAGTCGTCTATGTGCTGTTCGGCTAAACGGCGTCGGAAGAATGGGGACACACGTCGTTGCCTTTTCGTCGTTTCTGTCTACGCTTCTACTGACTGCATCCAGGATGAAGTGAAAGATGAATTTTACAGAAAGCCTTCTGAACTTCTTCAGAAAGCTAAACGTTCAGACATGGTACTCGTAGATGGTGCCCATTTAGGCAGCTTAAACCAAATAAAAAGACATTTAGGTGGGCATTTTGGTATTCCGGCTCAGCGAACAGATAATGGTGATCGTTTAATTAAGGCAAGCACTAATTTTAAGCATTAGGAGAGACATCGTCTTATATGGCGACCCTCTGCACCAAACAATCGATGGACTCAAATAGACCACATTGCCATCAGTCATCGCTGGGGAGGGTCGGTAGAAGATTGTCACTTGTTCTGGAATGCATGTTTGAACTGCTCTAATACGAGCATGCATTTGCTTGCGCCTCATTGGACGCAGGATAGCCTCATTCAGAAAACCCTTTGGAATTGAATTGAGTGATGAGAAAGAAAAGGTAGATTCCAGGACAAACTGAGGTCACACTTCGTCAGTTCTGAAAACAAGGCTGATCCAGATGATACCTGGAAAGATATACAAACAACTGTGGAAACAGCAGTGATATCTGTTTATGATTTGAACCAATGGATTTCTTCTAGGTCTGTTTCACTGGTAGATCCTCGTAAACTCATTAGATCAGGCTCTGAATACGATGAAGATCTAGGTTAACCAAAATTCCAACGAACGACCGAAAGCAGCGGTGAGAAACGAAAGCAAAGGTGATGGAAAAGACGGTGGCAGATGTAGGTAACACAAGACGGTTCTTCAGATTCATAAAAGAAACAGAAGCTAAAAAGTTACGGATGGTCAAAATAAATAAGAAAGGGTGAAACACACTAAGAGAGAAAAGGAAACGTAAGTTAGATGAAATGCTGTGCGGCAGACGAATATTCGGGTCTGGAATTAAAGTGTTAGATGGTGGAGCGTGTGTGCCGGAAATTCGCTATGAGTATGTAGTGTATGTATGTTCTTTCGGCCATAAAAAGAAGCCAGAGAGCTATGGTCAGAGAGTAAAAGGGTAAATGATTATTATTATTGTTTTCAATTTTTACAGACCAAAGTTTGGTGGTTGCAAGGCCATGTTTCGTTTACGGTATGCTGTGAACCGGTTCGTCATATCGTCGTCGAGGAT